TAAAGTATTTTAGAGAACACAGCTTAAGTTGCTTACATCGATATAACTCTCTCGCTCTCTCTCTCTTTGTTTCTCCCTTTCTCTCTCTGTCTCTCTGTCACTCTAATTGTTGGAATATTATAGAAACTAAATTCAAAATCCCATATGATTTTATAGCACATAGTTATAGTCATTTATATTAATATTTAGCTGCCAGGCAAATCTCAGGCCGAATATTTGCCTATTTTATAGATCTTGCGTAACAGACTTATATAACTCTAAAGCCATAAAGACCTGAGCATGCTGGCAGATTCGAGTAGTTGAGATCGCACTTAAATAACAATACACCCTCAGCATAAACTCTAAATTGAAATTGCGTATTCCAGTGAAACCAAGTTGGGCATAACATTATGCGTGAAGCCCGGCGTAGAGCCCGGGAGTCATGCGCATGCGAAGGTTTTGGCTAGCCATAAATCGCATTAAAATGCAGAGCATATCCTTATTGATTTATAATTCGAGTTGGAATCGACTCGGCGACACTCACTAATAACTCATTTAAGGCAAGCGCCGTGCGAGGAATCGAAAGCGAATTATGCAAATGGCAGGCGGTCTGAGGTCTGGGGACTGGGGACTGGGGCCCAGGGCCCTGAGGCCGTGGCAATCGCATAGAGGGAAAACGCGTCACGCGTCCCATAAATATCTGCGAATGCTTCTAATAATAGCGCTGCCAAGGACCGCCGCTTGGCAAACTCTAATGAAGCGTTCCAGCAATTGAGGAACCATTCGGCAGGCCATTTGCATGGCGGCCATCAGCTGCAGCAAGGAGGGCTGTGGCCAAGGGGGGGCTGCCTGCAATCGGTTGCGTTTCATTTAATTTTTAATCTAGCTAAATTTATTTCACACTCGTTGCAAGCACCTACCCCGCCCCTCAGCGCCCCTCAGCCCTCGACCACCTGGCCTGGGCAATTGTGTCAGCGGCTTCCGGGCGTATTTATGCGAGGTACATTTGAGCCATATTGATGCGGCCATGTTGGCGTGGCCAATTGAAACGCAGCTCTCGGTTTTAATGCCGCTGCGCTTTTCAGTTTGCCGTAGCAGCGCCGTAAATAATGCAATTACTCATCCGCGTTGCAATCTACTGATAAAAATATTTAATTGCATTTTTGCATTCATTCATTTTTGTTGTTTTTTTTCGCATTTTCATTTTGTTTTATGGAAAAATCGAATCGCATTTTTGCCACCGCGCATAAATTGTTGCATATAAATTTTTCATTTGCCGATGCGAAGGCCTGATAAATAATTTAATCGAAATTTTTTCCATTACAGAGCAAGAGCTAAAAGTGCAGCAAAAATAATAAAAAACAAAAAAGCAACAAAATATATATGTATATACAAAATGAAATCACGCACTTCATTTAATTTTAATTTATAAGGACGCCGTCGCCGCCAGCTCCCAGTCCAGCCCCAGTCATGTTTCATGCCCAGCCTAGCTGCGGGCCACATCCCGACTCTGGCCAGCCTAGCCGCGGCTGCTCTAGCATTGGCCAGCGTCTCCTGCCCGCCCACTTGCCGGCGATCTCATCTTACTGCACTGCATGTTGCAGTTATTTTTATAACTAAATTATATACGCCCGTCTTGCAGCCCACGAGCATGACTCGGGCTCAGGCTCTGCGCCTGAGAGGCTGTGCTGGCCTGTGCTGGCTTGGGCCTCTGTTTCCTGCCCGATTTATGGCGCACAAGGAGCGCGAAACCATAAACAGCTTTTATAGCGTTCTACTGGATTATGGCCAGCTAGCCCAGCCTCGGCTGCAGCTCGACTCTCAGTTAACTGAATTCGCCCAGCCAGCGATTCCTTTTGATTTAATCAATTCGATAAATTCGTGGCCCACGTGCAATTGTATTGCTCTTGCTGTTGCGTCTCTTGCATTAAGTTTCAGTGATATATAAAATGGGCTTAGTTGCCTGTGCCAGGCACTTTAAATATTTGATTTGAATATAGGGTAAAGATTTTAGGTAAAGTTTGGGAAATTTTGAGTCAAACAGGAGCTCAAGATATACACAATGGATTAGTTGAAGAAAGCACATCTCAAACGTCAATATATGTATGTATTTATGGGAAGATCTAGAGAAGAGAGACATGCTATAAAATATATTATTACAGCTTATGTAAGGCATAAATCAAACTAGCTTAATCCATTCAGCTTGCGCTGCTTGGATTTCCGGCATATCTTAGCTTAGCTTAAATATTCATTAGGCAACCGAGTTCACTCAGCTATCATGCCGATCAACACGCCCACAAATAAGTTATCCAAATACGCGCTACTTTCTTGGGTCTCTGCTATTGAGCTTAGCGCTCGCTAAAACAAATATTGCATTTACTGGCATCTCCTATAATGAGAAAAATGTACTCCATCTATCGTGCGTATACGAATGTGTGTGTAAGCCATTTGGTGGTCTCACTTCCGAGGAAAACTTTGAGCCAGAGTTGTTACTGTTTGTTGTTGTTGTTGCTTGTTGTTGATGTTGGTTGTCGTGTTGTGCTGTCCTGTTGCCCCCTTGGGTTTATTCATGACGCATAAATCTGGTCGGCAACACTTTATGCGAATACACAAACAACACGCCACCACTCGCCATGTACTCCTCGTAAATTTCGCAAGAGCAACTTTTTTACGAAATTAAATCTTGTTACAACAACAACAACTACAACGACGACAACAACAGCAGCTTGTAAGCTGCTATATATATAAATATACATATATACATATATATATGTGTGTATATTTATGAGCTGGCGTCGGTTTCTACGCAAGTCGCCGCGCTGTCGTCTAAGGCAAAGTTTTTTGGACTCAAATCAGAAATCTGGTCAAGCCACATGGGCGAGGTCAAGAGCGTGGGCGCTGTGGCAGTGGTGGCTGCCCGTTCGGTGGGTGTGGCGTCTTGGGCGTACGCGTGTTTATTGCGCTGCCTGGCAAGCCAGAGGCAAAGATTTAGCATTCGAGCAGTCGAACGACCCAGAAGGCATGGTGGGCGGACGCCGCTTGCGCCTGGATGTATACACACAATGGAAGCTGCTCTAGGATGCAGAATCTTTCGAGAGTACTCGCTGCAGCATTCAAAGTCCATGCAGCAGCAGCAGCAGCAGCAATGAGCTACGGCCATTCATTTGCACTCGGATGTTGTTGCATGTTGGCGTTGCAAGCGCCCCAAACGAGAGCATAATGAATGCGGTCAGCTAATTGTTAATGCACTCGCCATTATGGCCACACAGCGGCAACTCGTAAATGTAAAATGCATTTTAATTAACCGTCATATATTTCACTTAAAGCATTCCAATGCAAATTGCCCGGCGTAATGAAGGGACGCAGGGGCGTGTGGGGCGTGTGGGTCGTCCCTGCTGCTCGCCTGCGGGTCCAGCTCCAGCCCCAGGCACCTCGCCTCGGCGCGCCATATTAAATGTAATTATTTGGCACCAATTGCGTGTTTAGGATTAATTATGTTATGGATAGGCTAATACCGCGCTTCAAAGTGTAAAGTACAAAAAACATCCACGTTTCAAATGATGTGCCGTTTAAAATGCACGTCGATTCGTGGATCTCGCAGCATATAATCGAAAAAAAAACGTGAGCTTAATAAAGTAAGTTGAATTAAGCTTAACTTGAATTAAATTAAGAATAAATATGTTAGCTAAGACTCACTTGAGAGTAAAAACTTTGAAGAAAATATAGTTTAAATAAAAAATATGGTATTTATGTATTTTCAAATCTGTTTTCAACATTTATTATCTCAAGTAAATCAATACTTTTTCTAAGCTTTCCCTAAATTCAATGAAAACCGAATTTAGGGAAAGCTTAGAAAAAGTATTGATTTACTTGAGATAATAAATGTTGAATCAACTTGTAATCAACTTAGAATAAATATGTTATTTAAGACTCACCTGAAATTTAAGTGTGAATTTATACTAAGTTTATTATTATTTATAAATAGTTTCAAATATTATTTAAGGGGATTATATAAGATTTAAGGAAATGGTGGAAATAGCATTTACGTTAAATATTTTAAAAATATTAAAAATAAATATGCATATATTTTAATTATATATATATATTAAATATCTAGAAGTAATAAAACTATAAATATAAATATTTACAACAAACTATCAAAAACATTTTTTAAAGCAGATTAAATATACTATTTATTAAAATATATAGAAATAATAAAACTAGAAATATATTTACAATAGATTAGTGAAGAAGATATTTTTTATAGTATTAGTACATATTTCCATTTCAAACCAAATCAAAGAAGCACTTAATTTTTTTTCTAAGTAACTAAATACACATTTAAATTTGTTTTCTACGTTAAAACTTTCTATTACCTTTTAATTTAGCAATATACATTTATTTCACATAAATAGATATCTATCAGTATTTGAGATAATATTCAATATGAGTATTCTGCAAGGAATTATACTTGAATAAAATAGCAATCAATAGACGGCTCTGATCAGGCACCAGAAACTAAAATGGGCTTCTCATTGAAGGTGAGTTCATTGCAATATCAAAGGAGATCAGTATGAGCACTCAGAGCATGTTTAGAGTGTGCTGATAGAGCATGTAGAGCCTGACAAGAATGCACAATGGCACACTCAGCATACTATACTTCATTTTTAATATCTCTCTTTATCTCCTCTTCTCTCTTACTCCTTACCTTGTATTTATTCAAGTGCACTTACAAATATCATATTCTACATCATAATAAAGTGTATCTTCATTATATTCTCTCTTTGCTCATTTATCTTCAAGGTATAGGCTCTATGATAGTTCCAGCTGAAAATATAAGAATAATATAGATATATTTGTATGTATTTTAAATACAAATATATATTATTTATTTAAATGAATATTATAATAATAAAATGTATACAAATGCTTATACATCTAACGACCGTTACGAATTCACTGTTCATACAAAACGTTCTGTTTATTTTACACATTATTTATTCAAAGCTTGTTTTATCATTATTGCATATGTAAACAGACTTCTATGGAATATATGTAAATGATTTTATTCAATAGAGACAAAGTTTTTCCATTGCATTTCCGCCTGATTTGCGCCTTACCAAAGTCTCTGCTGTTGTTGTTGCAGTTGTTGCTGTTAGCCTGGAGCACATAAAATTCATTTAATTACGCAAATGTATGCATGTTCATGCAACTCCTGCACTCGTTAATTTTGAGCGTACATGAAATCCGACACAAGATATTGGAGTACATGAGTACATGAGGAACAGAGGCTGGCTGCATCGATAAACTGCACTCAGGTCAAGCTGTTGCCGCTGCTGGCAGCAACTGCAGCAGACGCATGCCACAGGCTGCGGCTTTTTGGGAGCAGGCATCGGCTCGTGTATTTGTAGTTCATAAATTGAATGGCTCGCTGGACCGGGAAGCAACTGTGTGTGGTTTATGGCCCGATGGCCCGATGGAGGTCATCGCAGTGCTGGAACCTTGGCAATAATCATAATTCCTGAGCTGGACTTTCACATTGTGCCGCATCGCAAAAAGCAGGTTGCATCATTTTCCACACCTAAAAAGATGAGCGCGCAAAATCAATCATAATTAAACACAAACACAAACAAAAAACCAAGTCAAGGTTAACCAGCAGACGGAAGGTAGATCACGGCTGGGTCGGGCAGGTTCTTCTCAAATGCATTTGCAGCTCATTAAAAACGCACAAGTGCAGCGCGCAGCAGAGCGCGAGTGCGAGACGATCGGCAGCTGAGCGCATGTTGCTATCTCGCTCTGACAAAGGTGAGTCTCTTACCTTTTAGTTTTTTTTTTTTTTTATGGCTGCTTTTGTAGATGAGTTGACCTTGGTGTGAATTTTAAGCGGAAATATTATATTGAGCAGACGGTTTTTTACGATCTTTTTATGGCGTTTGCAAAAAATGAAAAAAAGAAAAAAAAAATGGAAATACAACTAAAAAGTATATTCCCGCCGCGTTTCACGGCGCGTAGCAAACTGTTTTGGATTTGGTTTTTTAGCTGCAACCTCTGGAAATTTATGATTTATGATGATGCCCGTGACCCTTTAGCCAACAGGCAAAGATCAGGCATCGGACACAGGATCGGCTGAGGGATCGCCGACTGCTGTTTTGTAAACACTCAGTATGAATCCCAGTACCCGCTCGCTTGGACGTGGCGCATTAACTACAGAATAAACGCGACGGCACTGCAGAAATACCGAAATGAGTTAAATTCGTTAAGTTGTGCAGAAAATATGAAAAATATTAAAAAACACATGGCGAGAAGTGCATAAAAAACGAATGCGAGAAATGTTTCTGTTGTGCATATGCAATGCATCTATATCTGTATATATATGGGCACAGTGTAGTGTGTGTGAGTGTGTATGTGAAAATAATTATATAAAAAAAACTGCAAAAGTTGAAAGTCTGTTTACTACAAGGCCTGTTTGGCGGGCACATACTTTTTTGAGTAAGTTGAGTCTGATTAAATTAATATACTCTATGGAAAATATAGATTTGCATTGGACACTTCACTTCTCTTATTTATATATATATATAAGAAAACTGCTAATAAATATGTATCCAAAAACATTATGAAAAGAAATTAACAAAAATTGCATAAATAAACATAGTTATACAAAGCATATTATGATTTTAATTTCTATATTAATGTATTATGTTTATTAATTCATATATTAATTAATTTATTATATTTACTAATTTATTATATTATAAATTTATATAATTTATTATTTTAAATTTTTTTTATATTATACATATATTTATATTTATTATATTATGAATTTCTACTATTACTTTTATTATGACTACAAGAGAAATTGTTTAATTGTAAAAAGTTAGTTTATAATAAAATAATACTTTGTGTCCTTATAACACTATGGAGGAGTCTGATACGTCAGCATTTCCAAAGTATTGCCCTTAACTCAACAGAAAACCCACAAAAAATCAACTCTGGCAAGAAACGCCAAATGTGGTTAAAGGCAAATGTAATCCTGAAATAAATCACAGGGGCAACAGATTCATCTCACAGTGCGACTCCCATCGCATCTCATTCTCATTCTCATGCTCGGGTTGCGTTTCAGAGGCGTTCGTCGTTTTTTTTTTTTTTTTTTTTTTTTTTTTTTGAGTAATTCCGCGGAATACACAGCGGACCGGCCAAGCTAAGATATCTGAAATGAACACAAAAAAACTGAGGAACAGAAACTAAAGAAAAATCTTAAGAGAGCAATAAACAACATGGTTGACAATCTTAAATCTTGCAACTTACAGGGCACCGCAGCAGATACAGATACGAATGCGAATGAATGTCGCAGCCATTATGGAACGTTGCTGCTGCTGTTGTTCCTGTTGTTGCTTTGGACATTTCTTTTTGTTGTTGGCTGAGCGAGCCACACAATCACAATGCCAACAATGCCCAATGTCTGCAGCGGTCATTGCTATGCTGGAATGCAGCAACAACAACAACAGCAACAACAAACAATAACAACAACGAGGCAGGCCAGCTTAAAGGCTTGGCCCAGCCATGCCCAGGCCCAGACTCAGAGCCAGAGCCAGAACCAAAACCTGAACCAGAACCTGAAGCAGTGGCTTAGGTAGAAACAGCTCCAACATTGTCTTCCGAGCCTCTCGGACGGTGTCTGGGCCTCGCTGCCGTTGCTGGCTTGTTGTTTGTCTCCTTTATGGCTTCTTTTCGTACCTTTTATCTCCATCTGTGATTGCAGCCAGATTTTTCGTGTGTTTTTGTTGGCTTCTTCGTGCCTTTTTTTTTTTTTTTTTTTTTTTTTTTTGGGGTCACATTTTCGTGCTCTGCAGGTACGAGCGAAGCAGATATGAAATTTTCCCCTTGCGGATATCGTGTGGCAACGTCTTCAGCGTAATGGCTGATAAGCGGCACGCACACCTGAGTTATGGCCGCCAAGTCTGCAGCCCATTAAACTAGCCAACCCGTTAAAGCCAGATCATAATTGGCAGATACACCCCCGCCCGAGCAGCTCAGCTGCTGCTGCTTAACGACTTTTTAAACACTTGTGTTTGCTCTTTGAGGCGTACAGATTCAATGACATAACAGATTCTCTCACCGATTCGCCCGCTCCGTCGCCGACAAACAACAACAGACAACAGGCATTTGGCATTTGATGTTTATTTAATTTACCGCAATTCATAACAATTTCGTTTACGACATTTTTACAGCCCGACGAAAGGCCGTAAACAAAATGCCGCCGTCGATTGTTGTTTGATGCCACGAGCCGGCGTCTCGGCGTAGTTTTACGAGCCACCTTGACGTGCGCCAGCTCCCGTCCGCCCCCCACTCCAGCTCCTGGGCACTGCAGCGCACTACTCTGGGCCAATGGCAATTAAACGCCAAGTGCAGTTAGCAGTTGTTCTGACCGTCCGGTGGTTCGCGCCACCACCAATTTATGTGCGTTTTATAGATCGTAAAGAGCAACACTAAACAACAGCAAGGTCGTTGATTTTACGATGTGTTGAATGCCGAGCCAGGGCCAGAGCCAGAGCCAGAGCCAGAGCCAGGACGTCTGTCACTTGTCATCATCCAGCATTGCAGCTGTCTGTCCCCGTCTCTTTGAACTAGAGCTGCCTTCCTGATTGGGCTCAAGTGCAAGCGGCATCGTAAAACTCCAGCTAATGCCAGAAAGAGCCGTAAAACGGCTATAAACAAAAGTGTCTGTCCGCAGGGCCAAACGAGACGAGCGCCATTAGGAAAATATTTGTGTTCGGTTTGTAAACAATTTGATTTAATAAGGATAATCGCTTGTCGTGTCGTAAAAGACGAAGCAGTTAAACTACTGAGAGATGTCTGCTCAATTGAGTCATGGAATTCATGAGGCTTAACTAAATCATTTATATGTTGAGATTGTATTTCTGTTGAACAAAGTCTAGCAAAATGTCTATGTATTGTAGTGGACTGTGAGAGCTGACTAAATTTATTCAAGAAAATAAATATGAAAATAAATATGATTTGTGCTTTTAATACTTGTCAAGACTTCATAAAGTTAATTATAAATGTCTTGAATTTATATCATTATCATTATTATTATTTATTATTGACTGTACAATCATTTTGATTTTATTTTTTCATATAAAATCACCCCAATTATTATTATTATTTTTTTTATTAATTTCATCCCCATTGCATAGCTATCCCATGCCTTTTTTTCTACCACCCTTAGCATATACATATCAAAGGTTGTTTCATGCCCGCAAATTAAGTTTGAATATTGAGTGTCTGTAGTTTGCTTAAAGCCTTTCGTATATTGAGAGTAAGTGTTGTATTTAAATCGTACAGTTTACTAAACATAAAGTTGAATTGTTTAATATATTCAGAAATTAAGTATAATAAATTAAATAAATAAATTGAAGCCGTGTCATTTCCTGCTGACCTAAAAAAAAATTAAAAATGTTAATAATATAAATTAAAAAAACAAAAATAATAAAATAAAAAATAAACAGATTCACTCTAGGCAAGAAGCTTTCGTATTTTTCTTGTATAGTTTAAAATCTACTATATATATCTCATATAAAAATATTTATTTAGATAAAATATTAGATTATCAAAATTTTTGCCATTTAGCTTCATTTAATAATTGAAGGCAAAGCAAGCTTAAATGCCCAAAAGCAAAAACAATGAAGCAAAATTGCATATATAAGTATCTATTCTTATCCACAGGCACAGCGTGCCCAAGCTTCATTATTTAGCCAGCTGAAGACGTGTTGATAAGCAATGCCAGTCCCAGTCCCAGTCCCAGTCTCAGTCCCACTTCCAGCTCCATATTCATATATATTCCACACGGAGCAAACGCAACAGCGGATGGGGCAGACAGAGAACAATTGAACTAATGACGTGACTATGGACAGTCGGCATCGGTCTGCGGTTCGGTTCATTCGCATTCGACCATCCGGCCGAGTGTCCAGGTTCCAGGCAACGTCTGGCCGGTGGCTCATTGTTATCATGCGGCATGGTCGAGACTTATGCATCGAAAGTGTTGTTAAATTACGCCAAATTGCTTAATTCCAATAATGAAACGGACCGGCCGAGCGCCTCAGAGTCGGCCACTCAATGAAATTATAAATTTTCGGTCGTCCAAGTGATATGCAAAGCGCATGAAAATGAAGCCCCAACAGCGAATTTAATTTTTGTTTTCTGTTTCTGTTTCTGTTTCTGTTTCTGTTTCACTGTCTGTATGCGGCTTCAATGGATCGCACTGGGGGCGATCGCACCTCATTGCGAACGCCTCAATGACCGAGACAATTCCCGCACCGATTCTCGATCCCGGCCAGACGGCGGCGCAAAGGGAGCCCATTAATGGGCCAATCCAATTGGTCGTTAATGTTGCTTTTTATTTGCCTTTTATTGCGGCTCTCTTCTTGTTATTGTTTCTGCTGCTGTAGACTTACTCAATTTTATTATTGTTTATTTATGCGATTTTAAATAATGCGCAGCAATTCTCAAAGATAAGACGCGGCCTGTGAACTTTTCCCCTCTCCTCTTTTTGCTGCATTGATTTACGGCCAAATTATTTATTAGCTGGGCGCAAGTTGGGCCCGACTGGACTGTTGGATAGGTTTGGTTCTTAATAGAATTTTGTTTGCTTCTTTTTTTATTATTATTATTTTTGGCGCCCAAACAAAGCATTATAAACTTTTTCATAGTTCTTTGTGGTAGATAAAAGCAAACAAAGAAGCGAAGTCTTGTGAAGTTTCGTTTTATTATTTATTGACATCGTTATCGTGGGCGTATACACAATATTTCATAAATTTCGATATGTGCTAGATACTTTGTATTGGAATACCGTGGGTGGTTTTCGCTGACTTCAATGAACAATAGATGAATGTAAGAGAGCGGCTAACTATTAATGAAGCTGTATTTCTTCAACTTTTGCATAATATTTGGATAAAATATAAATTAGGGATACAGTTTGATATGCCAATAATAGATACCTAATGAATTGAGATTTAGTTTTAGAAAAAAATGTATAATCCAATATTATGTTGTTTTATATTTCTGGGAATAAGTCAAACAAATCAAAGTGAATCAAAGTAAGGGTATAAAATATATATATTCGAATCATATAGACCATAATATGATTATTTATTAAGTTGTATATAAAATTGATTGAATAGTATATTTAAGTAGAAAATATTTCATTAAATTAACACGCATATCAATTTGAAAACCTTTGATTCCTAATTTATGTTTTATTGGCAATTTAAAAGAAAATAGAAAAAAATAATTAAAAATTTATATCTATTGTGCACAGAAAACTTAATTGTGCTACAAAGCAAACTTTTTTTTAATAAATTTAAATTAAATATTTAAATATTATAAATATGTATATGAATACATATGTATAACCTAATTTATATTAAAAACTCCAAATGATATACCTATGATAATAGATAGTTAGAAAATTTTCAATTATCAGCCTAAAC